CATGTCATTAACAACTGTTTTAAAAGAAAAGAATAATTAAACAATCATTGTGAGATGAGCAGTGCAACACATCGTGGGTGCTTCTCTTCTTCTCCAGTTTTTCATGTTCACAGTGGACTGCTTTATGAAAGAATAAAGTTCCTACAGCTCTTATGTTGAGTCGAACTTCTGTGTCACAAAAAAATCAGTTTTAGTTGACAACACCTACTTTTGTGAGAATAATTTCAGACATTTAAGTTTTTATTTTCCCACAACTACGTTTTTCCTCCCATTGCTTTAAGTCAACAAGCTCTCTTCTCATTATATATAATGGGAAATCTATTTGGATGTCCATGTTTACTTTCAATGACTAAAGGTGAATTCAAAGGCAAATTAAATTTTATTTAATATATTTGCCACTAAACTTAAATATAGATTGTTTAAATGTTTTGATTCTGAGCCAAATAAACAGTTTAAATCCGATAAATATGTTTTTGCATAGTGTTCAGTCATAACCTTCTTCATTGTTCATCACTTACTATATTTGATAGAGATTTAATTTACAAAACCCAAACATCCAACCAAAAAAATCTGAGAAATTGCATTAATTTGTTCGGACAAGCATTTTTGTGAGTATTTTGGCTAACTTAACTCTGTTCTTCTACCACTGGATTACCTTGTTGTTTTATGAGTTACACCAAGACTGAAAACCAGCTTTGTGTGTGGACCTGAGCTTGAACCACTGACCAACCTCTGCTTACTTGCTATTTTAATAATAATAATAATGACTGTATTTGTATAGCACTTAACTAAACAAAGTTACCTGCTTCACAGGAAAAAAAATAAAATCCATGGCTGGAAGAGGATAAATTATTATACAAAGGTGTTCAGTTACATTTTTTGGGCCACGGAGCAGTTTAACCATCACATTTAAACTCTGTAAGACTGGTTGTTGTAATGAAAATAATAACTTCAATTTACCGTTGGTGTCATCAAGTGTTTCAGCCTATTAATAACAATAACATTGGGAGAGGCTAAAAGCAAAACTGACTGGCTACTGGCTTGTATGGCGGTGCTATGAAAGTCATGTGGCCCGCTCAGTAGATCAGACGTCATTACCTCTGTGCCTTTTTTATTCTATTTATTTATTTGTTTGTTTGTTTGTTTTTAAACTAGATTTAACTAAATACCTACTCTCATAGGTAGCAGAGTCAGACGCTGTCATATTAAACCCAACAGTTCCCACAATGAGCAAACCCTTTCTTACCACTCTCACAACAAAATAAAGAACTTTATCCTGCAGTCTTACAATACTTCATTCACTTCCATTACTGCGAGTTAAACAATTTCTTTAAAATATTATTTTTCAATTTTTGAATAGTACAAAGAGTTGCTCTTCCTGATGAGATCTGGGGAGAATACTTAGAATTCTGATGTTTTTGAATAACTTCCCCTCGTAGTTCAACGTTTTCACAAACCATCTGAGCCCTTAAGAGAGATCCTAACAATGACGAGCTGCTCTGTGTAGGGAGGAGGGTATAAAAGATTTATATAAGATAGTTTTCTGAACACCTTAAGGGTTCAGATTAGAAAGAATGAAGACATAATGACCACTTTACTTCTCATTGGTGCAGCACAACCAGGGTAAATGAGGTGAATGATCTGCTACACTATTTTCTGCCTCATTTTGGCTCATCCTGCAACACCCACAAAGAATTTTCCACATACAACGGAGTTACACTTGTCCCTCTAGTTGGATTTTCTCTCCCTTTTGCTTCTTATGAATTCACCTTCAACTCTTTTTTTTAACCGTTTACTTTGTTTTTTCTGGCTCTGATCTTAATATTTTAATTATTTTTGCAATTTTATTTTGCTTTCACTCATTTATCATCTACAACAATTTATTCTTGTCTCTGCCCTGATGTGTGATCTTTCAACTGCTTTTAATTCTTTCCTTTATTTGCCTTAAATGTTTAACTTGTAAAGCATCTTTAAAAGATGCTGTGTAATTATATCCACCATCATTATTATTAACATTATGAAGTTAGCTGTGTTTAAGTCAATGATTCTTACATTTTAGTTTGAGCTGACTTGCCAATATTTGATTATTTGTGGCTCACAGAGAAATGGCTGGAATTTTTCCAGTAGTCTGATGCTGTTCATTAGTTTATATCCAGTGCAAGATTAAGATAAATCGAAATTCAATAAATCATTCCAAATATTTCCCAAATTTATCTTAACATTTCCTTTGTGCTCTCAGCCATAACTCAGCCTATGATGGCATGTGTTTAAGTGGAGATGAGACTGGCTGAATTGGCTCTTGCACCCCCTCTCTCCTCTTTGGGTGAATTCCCACTTCCATGGAATAGATGGATGGAGACGTTATGATTTCACTGGGAGTTTAAGGCCTAAGCAACACAAGCTCATTGGTTTGAATGCTTCGCTCACCAAGACAAAGCAGAGATGTCCTGACCTTTCTCTACACCACATATTGCTTTACTACCAAAGCTGCTCTTCAGTCACTGGGAGAGACAATGCACCAGCATGTGGCTAATCTTCAGCCCTGTTAGCTTTTTAAATTAGGACTCTTGTTGGAATTAGGCTTCATCATCACATCAAACCAGAACCAAAACTGCCCAGTAATAGAAGAAATGTACACAAAGGATGGTAAGATGGTAAATGTAACCTCCAAAGAATTCAATCAGCATGTTTGTTGAGGGTGCGTCTTTGCTCCTTCTCATAGATACAGAGTCATCCCTGCTCGTCATGGAAACATATGCATTGAGTTTTACACCTTACATCAGCCTTAGGGGCCCCATACTGGTTTATGGACACTTAGCAGTTGCCATGATGATTTGCAAGACTTGGGCTTCACACCACTCCACTCCAACCACTGACTTGGCTGTAAGAACGCCTGCTGCTTGACATCCCTGGACCGGTGCTCGCAAGATGTAAGATTGAACTGTTGAAGTATAGCTGGTTTATGACACAGTAAAGCATTAAATCACCAACAGAGTTTACACTAGCCAGTTGAGGTATAGCAACATATGTACATATGTGTGAGAGAAAAGAGTTTTCCTTTCAGAGCAACAGCTAATGGGGAGAAAACATGATTTACACTTCATGTCAATCAATTAAAGTGAAAGTCAGTGACTAGATGGCCTCTCTGTAGCAGTGCAGTTCAAATAATGTCTCATATAAAGCAGTGTGAGCCCTCATTCTGTATCTCTTTTCCATCGGTTGTTCTTGTCTGTTCATCTCTAGTCACACAGAGGACATAACCTCCAGAGATGCTGATCAAACTGGAGCTGTCTATACAATAACTTTTTCACTCTGTGAGCCACATGACATGTGTGACTGTGCTAGTTCACCTGTAAGCTATGGTTGAGGTTGTGAGATCTTTTCATGTGATGCTCCAACAGTATATTTAGAATGAGCTTCACATCGGTGCCTCCGAACACAAAAGGAGTGTGTTTAGAACAAACCTGAAGCTATGATATATGTGCCCACGCCTCCAAAACACACGAAACTCAGTCATTCAAAGTGTGTCACACTGATTGTGCTTCAAATGTAATTCTCACTTTGTTTTTATTGACATCGAGTAGTACATTGTCAAGCTTAAAACTGAGCTGACCGTGTTCAAGGTTTCCTCATTGTGATTATGTTTACCTCCATCAGGAGGTCCAGTTGTTGGTGGGTTTGTTTGATTGTTAATCAAAGATTATGGAAAAACTACAATGCAAGTTTCCATCAAAGTGTTACAGTGCTCTACTCATTGCCATTCCAGTTTATTATGAAGCAAACTAAATTATTTTAATGCAATGGGAGCAGGAAAATTTATTAAAGTATGAACCATATGTAGACACATTCTAAATTAGACCCTTGGATTAGTTTCAAACTGGAATATTTGGCTCAAGACAGTTTAGGATCTGTTTTTATACTTTACACGCAAATATTCTTTGTATTTACCCAAATGTATTGTGAAAGAAGAAATAGTTAACTAGTTTGCTCTATACTGTGTGCTACTCGTAGACTGTTCCAACACTCTATGAGTCAGTTACACTGCCTATTGTCACAAGTTTTGACCCATACGTTCAATGTATGATTACCACGCTGTTCAGCTGAGGATTTCTTCCCTTTAGGTCACAAGCACGAGTTTGCTGTTAATGATTTTAATTGGTGCATGACACAGGCTCTGAAGGGTCCACAACAACAAACAACAATGGTCATTGCAGAACTCCACCAACCAAAATGGATACTGTAAAGAGTGGAAGATTTGTCATGGCTCAAATCTGAAACTGCATGTAAGGGTGAGGTCATATTTTTTTCATCATTATAACTTAAATATTAGCAACTTACTGATTCTGTGTAAAAAAACCTAAAATAATTCAGGCACAAAGATCTTCCTAAATGTGTCTATTTTTAGTTGGAGTTATGGCTCAGCCAAGGGACAGTCCACCCAAACACAAAGAGGGAATTTTGCTCTAAATTGATGCTAATTTTGGAACAAATGTGACTTTATTTGTCTGATTAAAACTAACTAAAGAGAACTATTGGCCGGCAATGACATTTTCAGCAGTTATATGGATGGGGTTAATATGTGAACCTATACCCTTCCAGGCATGTGGTTTAATTAGATTGGTTTTAATAAGAGGAGGACTGCAGGTATAGATTAAAAGGTCAATACACAGAAGAAAAAAAACTTTTGGGTATGAAATGGGGAAAAGATTTGACTTTGTTGCGCATGGTGCGTAAAAGTGCTTCATTTCAAAATTTAGCCACTTTTGTTACGGTACAATAAATGAACAGCTTTCATTCAAATACATGAATCACAGCAGAAAACAGAAGGTGTAAAAAGTTCAATAATATTACCCCCCTGCTCTCCCCTATCCTTATTTATCCAGAGTGTGCGTTGTCAGACACGAGGCGGCTGAGCCATGACTGCAGCCCAGCTGACGTTTGCTTGAGAGGTGGAGTCGCATCCAGCCTCCCGGAGTCAGCATCACTTTGACTAACGCTCGAGCAGGTCACAGCCTCCCATTTTATAGATCTAGCTTTAAGCCAAAGACACTGAGCAGACTCTCATCTCGTGTTGGTCGGAATAGTCGGGGGAGTTGTGCGGACTTGGAGGGTCGGGTGCACGATGAGACTCAAACACGCATCACTTGTGAGCGCAAAGTTTTCATGTTGAAGGATATTTTATGGATTTCTGCGCCGGACAAGTTTCATCCATAGAAAAGTATTTGAAGTCAGCTTCGCGAACTTCTGCGGTGCGTAAATTGCTTGTTCCCATGGCTGAATTAAATATCATTAAACTGCGTTTTCTGGATATTTAACAGTCAACGTGCTGATGTGTTAAGGAGCTGAACAGTTACGCGGACTAGTCCCTTGACTTTTTTCTGCTGCGGTGTGACTGCAGCAGCTGATGCAGAAGCGTCCCCAGAAGTTACCACCCGTCAGAGAAAACTGATGAGTCTTCTTCACCATCATTCCTCAGGACAATCCTCACGCCAGACAGTCATTATACAGAAGTCAAACATGGACAGCAACAGGTCCCACATTCCCTCCATCCTCCACGTGGAGCTCAGCCCGTTCATTGACTACATGGACGACAACGACACGAACTCTACCGGCGGTGAGCGATACTCTCTGGGCTGCGTGCAGATCCGCATCCCGCAGGAGCTCTTCCTGGCGCTGGGGCTCATCAGCCTGGTGGAGAACATCCTGGTGATTCTGGCCATCATCAAGAACCGCAACCTGCACTCGCCCATGTACTACTTCATCTGCTGCCTCGCCGTGTCCGACATGCTCGTCAGCGTCAGTAACGTGGTGGAGACCATGTTCATGCTTCTCCACGACCACGGCCTGCTGGACGTGCACCCAGGTATGCTGCGCCACCTGGACAACGTCATCGATGTGATGATCTGCAGCTCCGTGGTGTCCTCGCTCTCCTTCTTGTGCACCATCGCCGCGGACCGCTACATCACCATCTTTTACGCGCTGCGCTACCACAGCATCATGACCACGCAGCGCGCCATCGCCATCATCGTGGTGGTGTGGCTGGCTAGCCTCGCCTCCAGCATCCTCTTCATCGTGTACCACACCGATAACGCGGTCATCGTGTGCCTCGTGACCTTCTTCTGCACCACGCTGGTGTTCAACGCCGTGTTGTATCTGCACATGTTCCTCCTGGCGCACGTGCACTCGCGACGCATCATGGCATTCCATAAAAGCAGGCGCCAGACCACGAGCATGAAGGGGGCGATCACCCTCACCATCTTGCTCGGGGTCTTCATTTTATGCTGGGGCCCATTCTTCCTCCATCTCATCCTCATCCTCACCTGTCCCACCAGCCCCTTCTGCAATTGTTTCTTCCGAAACTTTAACCTTTTCCTCATCCTCATCATCTGCAACTCCCTCATCGACCCGCTCATCTACGCGTACCGGAGCCAGGAGCTGCGTAAAACGCTCCAGGAGTTGGTCCTGTGTTCTTGGTGCTTCGGCGTCTGACATATACTTCACATTCAGGGAGAGAAGATCTCGTCAGAGATGCACATTTTTGTTGCAGAAGCTGAAGTGAGCCGTGACCGATACATGTTGGAAGACGCCCATGCTCAACGCTGTACATGACAGACCAAGACTGTATCTGACTGTTGCACGTGGCATCGTGGACTTGATGGTTATTCCCACGCATGCCTTCAGATTTATTCGCCTGTTGCTTTGCCTGCTGTTGCATTACGCTACTCCTGGGTCAGGTTCAAACTGTGAAACTTCTGGACATTTAATCCAGAAAGAGATTCTTCGTTGAAGAGTTAATATACTAAGTTATACTTATGAGCGTTTTATTTTTTGTTAATAAAGTTTTTTTCATGTGTTTGTCCTCTTGTAAATGAAATTATTGTATATAAAACTTGTCGATGGAAATTTGTCATCTACTCTCAACTCTCTTTTTCAAAGCTATTGACAATTACATTTTCTCAAGGAAAGACACGGAAAACCTGCAAACCCACGCTGGAGAAAAATGTTTGAGACCATTATATCTCCGAGTTAAATTTCTTCCTCCATTAAATGAAAACTGAATGATTGCTTGTTATTGGACTATTTCATGTCCTGAACCCGAACAAAAATCTCTTCATGATGCCAAAAGTTAGACAAACCAGACTTCAACATTCAGGGCTTTGTAGATAATGTGATGTGTGGTAGAGAGACCCTGCAGCCTTTTCTCCACCTTCCTCCGCCTCCATTCACTGCTGTTTGAAACTATTTGCTTGTCACATCCTCTGAAAAACAAGCATTGTGCAATGAAGGCGGATGCTGAAATGACTGCTGCTAAAACAATTTATTTCATGTTGGAATAAATTGACAAGGTTCATCGATTTTTTGCCTCAAGAACATGAATAAGCTGAGATATAATAGGAAAGCTTTGTACTTAGCCTTGGTGTGATGTAACTTTAAAATGGCGTGTTGCAGTCCACTTGGGGGTGTTGTGTGGGAATTACTCCCCCAAAAATAAATGTCTGAATGACTTACGATAAAAAAATTAAAAAGATGCAAAATCACATGAACGGTCTTGCCTGGTGGTAGGCCTGAGGCCCAGGGCACAACAAGAGGGTTCATGAAAGAAGTTATATTTAAGTGATATTTCTGGAAGTGTTTGTGGTTGTGTGCAAACGGAACGATGAATGAAAGAGCCCGATTTCAGTTATACTGATCAAACTATTGAGACATTAGGCATCATTGTGTGTGGAGAGCAAAGCAAAAAAACATGAGACCCCTATGTTTTGTCTGCAGCTGCAGATGCCAACACATCACTCTGGAAATCAAGAAGTTTGCTATTTTCTTCTTTTTTTTTATCCTATAATATCTTTATTGATCCTACGGATTCAATGTAAATAGAACATGCATGTTTTCCTTTAGAAAAACTGAAATGCAGTCATAAATCTGCATTTGAGCCATGAAGTGTAGATTTTTTTTTTTTAATTCCCACTCAGAATAAAGTATTTGTGTTGGTTTCACAGATATTTGTTTTTAAATGAAGGGGAAAAGAATCACAGGTCCCATGATAAGGCTAATCAGCCAAGACAGAAATAGCTAACAATTCAATTTAGACTTCTGACGGAAACCGTGATTCGAAATCTGCCTGTTAGTACTGACAATAATGTCAGCTGCAATGTAGTTTACCGCTGAGTACTGTAATTTACAGTTTTTCTTTCTTTTTGTCTTTCTTTCTTTCCTTCCTTCTTTCTTTCTTTATTTCGACTCAACATTAAAACAGATCACTGGTTTTAATGTTGTGCCTGGTGGGCGTGTATCTGTTTTGTGAGAGTTAGTTCTGTTCCATCAGTAATGTGATTTAAAATTTATTTTTGTGTTTCAAATATTTTCCATGGCTTGAAAAAATACACTGATCTGCCACAGTCTTAAAAAACACTTATCAGTTCTAATGCAGTGGTTGATGGGTGTAACTTTACAGTATGTCTGTCGTGTCTACAATATAAAATAAGCTCTTTTTAAAGTAAGACTCTGAGATCTTGGTGCTGGCTGCTTTGGTATATTCTCTAAAGTAAACCTGATTCAACTGTCAATGCTGTGAGTATAATTATAAAACATGCAGCTTTCATGCCATGTTTACTTGAACATGAGTGAAGCAAGATTGTGCTGTATAGCTGTTGTATAGAAGGAACCTGTGTTATACTGTCTGTAATCCTTAAAGTGTTTGTTTCAAATAAAGGGGTCAAGACAAGAAATGCCTGTGGTCAATAATTAGTAATGCTACCATGTGTGTTTTGTGTACTTGCTTGGACAGAGGTTGTTTTAGTTATTTTCAGACCAAACATCCAAACCAAGCTCTTCACATGTGCACGCTAAAAAGACAGGAGTCCCAGAAGTCCATTAGAAATGGCTGTGAAGTTTGCACATGGGATGTGTCAGAGGCACTAAATACAGCAACAGAGCAAAGGCTGTTCATGGCTTTTTAGATCTGACAGTCTCCGTTCATTACATCTTCTGCTGTCTCTGTTTTATCTGCAGATAAGACAGGACAGCAGAGACAAACCCAACGCCTTTGTACTTAAACGTATGTACATTGAACACCATTTTTTATGCCTCATAGAAAACATTTATGCGAGACTGCCAGCAGACAGAAGGGCCATTGATATATAATACAACAGAGACATTATTGAAATCCTCCATTTTTAAACTCATGATCAAGTGGTGTAAAAACTTTAATAACCTCAGTGTCATCTATCTGTCTGTCTGTCTGTCCGCCAGTCTGCTACCACAGTCAAACTGAAATCCTTTTCCAACACTCAGTACTGTCCATCATTGTAGATAAATTCATAACATAATAAATGACACAAGGAAGCAGACACATACTTGTCATGGACATGGCACTTGACAATTTTTATCTGTGCTTATTCCAAAGGATGACCAAAGTGAGTATAATTCACAGAGCGCAGCTGTTTATAATTTGTTATGTGACTTGTTCCTTCATCTGGCTGCACAAAGCAGCTCTGTTCACAGCAAAAGAAAAAACAGACAACAGTGCTCTCGGGATTCTGGGTTATCCATATGGCCAGACACCATGGCTTCTGATCCTCAGGGATGGACACAAATGGAACAATAAACAAACTAACCTTCAGCAAAACACAAATGTCAAATAATCCTAGGGGCATAAATCTGGCCTGCAAAATTACCAAAAACACAGAATACATCTTGAAGGGCCGGAGCACAGTTGTGTTGCTGTCATGATCATCTTTCTTATGTGTAAGGTGACATTCAGTTTCCCTCTTGAGGGATTAATAAAGCATATAGTATGGTATGGTAGGGTATCGAATTATATCCCATTCACATTGTATCTTACATCACATTGCGTTGTATGGTATTGTATCATATCATGCCATATCGTATCTGTCGTGTTGTATTGTAACATATTGCATCGTATCACATCGTATCGTATGTTCATTGCAACACCTTTACTTGGTGGAAACAAATGGGATGCGATGACCATTCATAAAACTAACTGGTGTCTGAAATTACCTGTGTGTGTGGAAATTGTGTCGTCTTTACAAGATTTTTACTTCTTCTTGCCTCAGAGGGTTTCCATGTTGACATGCAAACATTATGCTGTCTAGGTCTCATTCTGGGGCAAGTTGAAGCTGAATGTTTATTCCTAGTATATAACCCAGAATCTGATGTGACAGACTGTCCTCAGTGTGGGCACTTTGGTACATGACTGAGATTTATGTCAATTATGCAAATGAAGTGATGCACAGACTAATCTATGACTTGAATGAAATTAACGAGTGTGTCCAGTGAATAGAATTACTTTGTTTTTGAAAGCAAACTGTATATATTTAACACAGTGGGGGAAAAGACAGGCCATTACATGACCATAGTGATGTTAGTCAGTGTTTGAGTTAGTTTGTCCATATGTTGGATCTGCGATATGCTGGTGACCTGTTCAGTGTGCACCCTAAACACACCCCACGCTAAGACCCTAAATTTTATAGATGATGATAATGATAGATGAATGATTGAACTTTAAAAGTTCAGTGTGTAAGATTTAGGTGAAAGGATCTATTGGCAGATATTGAATATAAATTAATCCTAATGAGCTTTTCACTAGTGTGTAATCATCTAAATTGCGCAAATTGTTGTTTCCTTTACCCCAGAATGGGCCCTTTTTATTTAAATACTTACATTTACATTGAAAGCGGGTCCTCTCTACAGAGGCCACCATATATTTTTTTTTACAAACTAAACAACTTTTGGGTTTTTATGACAACTGAAGGTTTCCACAGGTTCTCTGTGACGTTTGGAAGGGGGGCTGAGGTGACGGATATTCAGCTGCAACATGCAACCTTACCACTAGATGTCACTAAATTCCACACACTGAACCTTTTAGTGTGTTGCATCTATGTGCAGAATTATTCAGAGGTCTTGATTTCCTGATTTGTGCTCAGTAAATCATATTGCACCCCCTTACAGTTTACGCATAATGACAATAATATGTTAGTAATTCTAGCAGGGCAAGAAGTTGTGCTTTATTATCATTATTATTATTATTATTGTTGAGGGAAAGTAGGACGCACAGTAGTATTTCTGTTTCTTGCTGTCTGAAGTGGGTCACATGCTTCCATCAAACACAACATTTTGTGACAGAAAACATCACTGAACAAAGGATCTCTTCATTCATGAGAAAGCAGGGACCTTTCATCTCTCCCCTGAGTGCAGAGATTTTTGTTTGTTAAACATGAAGAAATTGATTCCCTGGTCTTCGGTTGCACTCTGTAACACGCAATTTTTTCTGTTGGCTTTTATAGCTGAGTGTTTTTGTTTATCATGGCACACACAACCTGATATGTCCTGCTTTGGAAGTGTTAACAGAATTATTTTACTTTACATTTTTATACTAATTTAATCATATTCAATTGAAATATGTATCTTCATTAAAAAAAACCTTGTAATGAAGCTAATTAAGGTATAAATTGTCAATTTTCATCTTAATTCGAGTTATGCGGTGCATTTACTCTGATGATACACTATGGTCTTATAATAGCATATGACATAACACATAAAGTTCAATTAGAACAAAGGAAAGAAATATGACTGTTAATAACATAAACCTCCAATGTTAGGTTGCATGTCTAAAGCTGTATCCGAGCTGCACAAATACCAGAGGGTTCCAAAAGATGTTCATCAATATTCCCCATTGCTAGATGTCAGACACATCACAACAACAAACGCCCTGCAAATTTGATACACACAACACAAACAAATACACACGACAACGTGTTTACGGGACAAACAACAAGAGATGGACCTGGCTGGGGCATTCTTTTGGATTCTCTTTAAATTGTGGATTTCAAGCGTTGGAAGATGAGTCAGTAATCCAGTCAGATTAAAGGGATAGTTCACCTAAAAATGAAAATTTACTCAATCATATAGATCATAGAGGCAGCAGATGTAGCTGAGGGATAGAGCGGTCATCCTCCAACCAGAAAGTCGGCTGTTCAATCCTCAGTCTCCCCCATCTGCATGCCAAAGTGTCCTTGGGCAAGATACTGAACCCTTAAAAGGCGCCTCATAGATGTTGAATACATTAATTATTTGTCATTTTGATAAAAATATAGCATAAAGGACACTGTTTTTTTACTTTCTAGTCGGTCCCTCAAGGCTTAACAATGACAGCTCACTAAACATGTGATATTTTCCCAAAAGATAAAACAAAACTACAGATTATTAACTTAATTGTCAGACTCTATTTAAAACGCTTGGTGCCAAAACCTTAAAATCTCAATTTAAGCATTAAAAAGGGAAAATGACAGGGTATCAAGTATTTATTTTCAAAATAAAAGCATTCAGCATCCCGTCCACATTGACCTATTTAGCTTAATAAACCACATTAAAAGAAAGCGACGGATCCATTGTGTTTGAATTTCTCCAATAGATTAAAACTCGTTCATTATCTCTTCTCTTCATCGTACTAATCAAGACGCAACTGCCTGGGTATCGCTTGAAGGGTTTTATTGTGACACTGCGGAGCGGATGTGGATGTTCTGAGTTGTTAGCCATGTGATGTCGCTGATGAAGGAGACAAACAACACGGAGCGTCTGCGCGTACAAACCGCAAGAGTT